CAGGGACCACAGGACACATTGAAACTTCTGAGTGAGGAGCACAGGCTTCTCATACACATCTACTCTGTTTCTCTCCTGCCACTCCTCTTCTATTATAGGTGCTCAGGATTCTAGGCTATCCTAACACTCCTCCTATGGAGAATCGATCTCATTCCCTGATAGAAGTCTTTAAGTTGGGCTAATTTCCACTTTTCCCTTCAAAATGCACTTGGGTACCACTAGCTATGACGCTTGCTTCCCTGACACCCACAGCCACACAGTGTCTGCTCTTGGAATACTGGTGGGCACGTTCATTACAATATCTAATACACTGATCTTCAATTTTCAACTTATTGAATTAAGATAGAAAAATAACAAGTCAGTTTAATACACACACTAAAAAAGTTTGATAAAATAAAACAAAACATCTTAAGCTTGGTGTGGTGGCACACACCTTTAATCCCAGCACTCAGGAGGCAAAGACAGGGGGATCTCTGTGAGTTTAAGATCAGCCTGGTCTACATATTGAGTTACAGGACAGTCAAGGCTATGTAGAGAGACCTGCCTCAGAAAAAATAAAATAAAATATCATTCTCAATACATTGATAAACTGTCAAGAAATTCATATCTCTCCAAAGCCAAAGCTTAGCTAGAAGTAGAACCCACAAAGATGGGCACTGAGGTCAGCATCTATGCAGTAGAGGGCATTGGCCAAGTCAGGCAACACTTCGCTTTTCTCTGTGACGTCTGTTTAACTGTCAACCAAGTTTCACTGGTACTTGTCATGGTACTGTACCTTCACTCAGAGTACTGCCCCAACAGACATCATCCTTCACACCCCCACATCCACGTGGGGCTTCAACTCCGCAATTAAATACAAACTCGTATAGGGTGTGACATAAGTGACAGACAGGGATGGGGAGAGAAGAGGGAAGAGGGATAGGGACTACTGGGAGGAAAAGCTAAAACTAAGGGGGATTTGAGGGGCCTTAAACCTAATATCCTAAAATATATGCATTTTTTAATCTAAATGAAATCACCAAATAATGGGGAAGACAGAGCCCCAACTGGACATCTCTTGTCACCAAGTGAAGCTTCCAGTACCAGGCTACATCTAATCAAGTTCCTGGCCTAAGAGGTCCCATGGGAACCCCCAAAGAACCCAGGCTAAACTGACAACAGGACCCAATTGCTGAAGACAATACTTATACAATTCATTGAATATGATAGAGAGGTCAAGCTAGTGCCTACCTAGAGCCTTCACCTCTATGGACTAGTGTTCATGGTTCTGGAAAGTATTCTGCATGAAATCAAAGAAGGGTAAACACCAACCCAGTTACAAACCCTTTGATCTACAATGGTGATCTCCTTGCAAAATACACTGGTGTAATAGTGGCACAAAGCTTTGGGAGTAACCAACAATACCTGATTTGAGTTAATCCCCACTCTTGAGATGGAACCCATATGCAATACTGCTTGGGTGACCAAGAACCTGAGACTAAATAGCCCAGGGACCAAGAGAAAAACCAAATACTACTGTTCTGCTAAAGGAAGATAGCAATAAAATGACTCCCATTGTGACATTCTGCTGTATTCATAGATCAGTGTCTTGCTCAGCCATCATCAGAGAAGCTTCCTCCTGCAGCAGATGGGAGCTGATACAGAGACCACAGCCAGACATTATGCAGTGAGAGACGTTGGAATACTTAGATCAAAAGAAGATATCTCAGCACATCCCACATCATGTATCTATCAAATCCCTTCCCTCGGGGCTTTAGGAAACTGCAGAAGAAAAGACAGAAAGAGTCTAAGATCCAGAGGGATGGAGAACACTAGGGCAACCAGGCCTTCTAGACACGGCAGGACCAATGCACATATGTTCTCACAAAGACTGAGGTAGCATGTGCACAGGGCCTTCATGGTTCTGCACCAATGGGGTCCCAGAGCTGAAAGGAAACACACACCCTCACCCCTAGCACAGAAGCTATCTACAACTGATAGCCACTCCAAGGAAACAAACCACGCATCAGGGTAGGGGCCCGGCACTAGATGGCCAACACAGAGTGAACAAAACAGCACCTTTGGAGGTTCTTTGTCTCATAATGTTAAGTCGGGGCTTTATGGTTTTTGAATCTTACAGGTCCTTTGCTTATCTACTATAGTATCTAGTTTTGTGTTTTTATGTAAACCGTGTGCGCATAAATGGTGTTCTCTGTGTCTATATGTATTTTTATGGAAACCGTGTGCACATGAACAGTGTTTTCTGTGTCTGTATGTGTTTCTTGTGCTTTTTCTAGTTGGTTGTTCTTGGACATTCCAATTTGTTTTATCTTAATTATGGTAATTATTATTCCTTAGATGCCTGTTTTCTAACAAGAGACAGAAGGGTGTGAATCTGGATGGGAGGGGAGGAAACAACTAGGAGGAACAGACAGAGGGCAAACTGTAATCAGAATATATTATTTGAAAAAATCTATTTTCAATAAAATAAACAAAATGGCTTTCCATTGGTAATGCTATCAAAAACAAATGGAAATCCTCCCTGGAGGAAATTTCTTTCATTCCCAAGAAAAATAACTTCAGCCAAAAACCACACCTTATGTGAGGGCAAACAGACAGAGCAGAGAATAGAATAATAAACGCACAGTTTTCGAATTAGAATTGGAACTTTAAAATCATTACACTTAATACTGTTAGAGAAAAACATTATGGAGTCTCCCTTGCCTCCTATCTGTATTACTGTATGTGTAAAAAATTCCAGGACAGGCTCCAAAGCTACAGAGAAACCCTGTCTCGAAAAACAAAAACAAAGCAAAACAAAAAAAAATCAAAGTCCCAGATGATCTTTACACAGACTAGTCTTAAGGAAATTTGAGGGATGTACTAATGCCTGTCACTAAATTGAAGGACAAGCTTGCTTACTGCCTGCTAACAGAAAGCAAGACTCCAGATCAGTGTTCACATCCTGTGCAGGTATCGACTTAGGCCACCTCTGTCCCTCTTGGAGGAACAGGACAAAGGAGCCAGAGCAAACGTGTGCACACTCTGGCTACGGCTTTTACTGTGCAGGAAAGTCGTTCACTGTCCTCCAGTATCGGGGAAACTGTGGCAACTAGAGCAAAATCTCAGCTCCTTCCTGGATCTTAACCCATGGGACTTCAAAGAGAAAAATATGCTTAGGAAGTAAGAGGCAAACAGATAACGACACTTTGTAAACCAAAACTCAAGAAGGAACTTTCAGAAGTAAAACACAGGTTAGTGATTAGGATACAGACATGAGATTCCTCAGAACGGACCACAATGAGAAATAAAATACAGTAATTCTGAACGAGGTTGGAGAGCATGAACAAAGAATGAAACAGAAAGTATGAATTGTGTAGCACTCACAATGAAAGACATCAATTCGTGTGTGTGTGTGTGTGTGTGTGTGTGTAGGAGAGAAAGAGAGTCTTGCTATCTTGTAATTCTCAGAAAAGTCAATACTAATGGAAAAATAAAAGCAGGTTCAAGCTGTCAAGTGACATTCACACACAAAATAAACATAGAATTAATAAAAATGTTTTAATTTTTAAAGCACTCTCAGATAAGACTGAGATGCCAAAAAAATTGACAAGCAATGAAGAAAATTTTATTTTATATCAACTAGATTTGAAAAATTATAAAATCTATTAATTCTAAAAGTTGACAGGCATGTATAATAGTGGAAATTTTTGCATTCTATTGGTATCACCACTTTAGAAAAAAATTGACAAGTTTTAAAATAAATAACCCCCAAATTTACTCAGGTATTAAAATGGAAAGTCTTACATATGGGCATGTGTAGCCTCAGCTCAGCATATCCTTCCGAGGTCTTCTCCTTCCATCATCATTTGCATGATTATATTGTGTTTATTATGAGCACCCTGCTGTTAGACACATGAGAAATAATATTTCTGAACCTTGCAGCTGAGGCCCAGGCCCTGGAAGCTTCCAGGTGAGCCGTCTGAAGACACTCTTGTCTTCCCAGGACCATTTACCAAGCGTTCAGTGTTTTCCCTATCACATTTCCATACCACATTAGCGGTTCTGAGGTTCTAGGCTTGCCTTCTCCCTGAGATGCTCTCTCCTTCTGTGATATCCCAGCTCTCACTTCAGTTCAGAGGAGTCAGGATGGGTAAATGCCAAGGCCAGTGAAGGGAGGTTTTCCCAAGCTTGGTATCAACTCCATCCTCGTTTCCAATCTTCCTGTCACAGCCTCTCGTTCAGCTGTGCCTCGGGGAGGTGCTTCTTCAGCACCTCATCATTACTTATGAGCATATCCCAAACACACAACAGAAACAAAAGCCAAATATATCATTTCCACGAATCTCTCACTTTCTATCTTCTACACACAACACATACAAACACACAAATACACACATACACACATACATAAACACAAGAGCACAAAGCACATACACATACAAATACACACACACACACATACACAAACACAAACACACGATACTAGCTTTTGTTGAGTCTTCAATAAAAGGCCTGAGAAAGAAGAAAATCCCAGAAGAGCAACCCTGGGAGAGAAGACAGGAAGAAGGCTTTCATCTCTATCAGGCGGTATCCGAGAGTTCACAGGGCAAGTTACCTGCATATCAATGTGAGTTATAATTTTATGCTTTGGCTCTGAGTGCTATTACCTCCTTTACCTTATTCACTGTGTCATCAATAAAGCCCAGTGGACATATCTTTGGCTTACTGTTCTCCAGTCTTAGCTGTGCCTGTGGCCCCTGACATATCTGTGCCTTACTGGTTTCCAGTCTTAGCTGTGCTGTGGCCCCTGACATATCTCTGGCTTACTGGTCTCCAGTCTTAGCTGTGCTGTGGTCCCTGACATATCTCTGGCTTACTGGTCTCCAGTCTTAGCTGTGTTTGTAGCCCCTGAACAGACTTTCAAGCTGGTCTGGGGTGTCAGCTGCACCAGGAATTTTCCAGAGTCAGTGATGAGTAAATCTGTCATTGCACCAGCTCTGACATTGGTCTTGCCTTACCTCCTCTGTCTTTAAAACTTCCCATATTCGAGCATGATCCTCCACCAGCCAGTGTCCTGTGTTCTCTACTTTTGTGGAAAGTTTGACTTTAGACACCACTTGAGTAGGCTCTCCCTCAGATTTCCCGTCCATCTTGAAAGAGGCAAGCCGGAGGCATTACGGATCTGGTGGAAGAATAAAACACAAACTAGGTTATTGTGGGAGCCTAGGCAGTTTGGATGCTCACCTTACTAGACCTGGATGGAGGTGGGTGGTCCTTGGACTTCCCACAGGGCAGGGAACCCTGATTGCTCTTTGGGCTGACGAGGGAGGGGGACTTGATTGGGGGAGAGGGAGGGAAATGGGAGGCGGTGGTGGGGAAGAGACAGAAATCTTTAATAAATAAAAAAAAAAGCAAGAGGTAGTCACAGCTAAAAAAAAAAAAAAAAAAAAAAAAAAAAAAAAAAAAAAAAAAAAAAGTAAAAATGCCCAAACCGCAAGTGTTTCATGTTTTAGACTCTCTCAGAGTCTAAAATAAACTCTCCTGGCCAAGCAAAAAAAAAAAAATCAAAAATAACATTTGAAAAGATAATGAAAGCAAATTACTGTGCTTGATTTTTGGATAGTGAAACCACTGAAGACAATATTACAACAGACAGAACTCTTATGGCCACTTTTTATATTTAAATATTTAATGCTAGTATTTTAATGCAAGCTTCTGGAAGAATAGGGACACATCTTGATAATGGACAGTGATACAAACTTCACTATTAAAAGATTTTACTTTTAATTACATGGAGGGATCTGTGCTCGTAGATACAAGTGCCCTTGAAGGCCAGTAGAGGGCATGAGACACCCTGGAGCTGGAGCTACAGGTAGTTGTGAGATGCCAGATGTCAGTGCTAAGAACTAAACTTGGGTCCTCTGCAAGAACAGTGTAGGCTCAAAACAGAGGAGCCATCTCTGTATCTCCTGTGATACAAATTTCATAAGATTGTTTTTTAAAAATCTGCTTAATATATCTCTTGCCATTTTGTTCTGGACCCTGGAGAGGAAAGGTGAAAATGGGTGGGAGAAAAGGCAAGTCATAGAGGTCTTTTCATATTCTGTATTTCCCTGACAGCTTGGGAGAAACATTGGCTAAAGCACTGGGAGTTTAACTCCTCTAACACCCTGGGCTGCTGTGCATGCAAAGCTGTGTGTCAGGCACACACAAAATCCAGGAGATTTGTTCTCAAATCTCTAAGGCCTTATGCTCCAGGGCAGTAAGGTTGCAAACAAGCTTTAATAGTGTGTATAGTACAATATAATGTGTGAAATGCCACCGGAATGATGTTTCCAAACTGTGATGGAGGGCTGGGGGTGGCTGAACACACACCTAGCATGCACTAGGCCCTGGATTAGAGGCCCAGCACCAATAAATAAAAAGCAAAACAGAAACACATCCAATGGAAGCAGAAGGAGGCAGGAGATTCTCCTCAGTGGAAACAGAAGGAGGAGATTCTCCTCCAATGGAAGCAGAAGGAGGCAGGAGATTCTCATTTGTGTTTATCAGCTGTGTTGTCTTCATAGGCTCTGGGTTCAATGCTGGGGTCAAACAAGATCTTTCAATGGACCCTGATTCTACGTCTCCTTCGGCTCTCGTCAGAATCTCATTGCCCTGCTTCGGTGCCACACTGTCCTAAGGAACCTATTGCTTTCATTCAAGGCCCACAGATATACCCTTCCTAGGGTGACTTTCACAAAAATCTTATCTGTCCATGATATTCTGCTTCTTAAAATTTTCCTGGAGAAGTAAACAAAAGCTCCTCCACACAGCAGCAAAGGCCCTTTGCGCCTGGCTCCTTTCGCCTCCCTTTTCTCACTCTGCACATGCGCCACTGACCACTGACTCACCACCGAGGCCATACTATTTCAGCCATTTGAAAACACAAATGAGACTGGGCAGTGGTGGTGCATGCCTTTAATCCCAACACTCACTCGGAGGTGAGAATGGAGGCAGGGCGGGGGGGCAAGATCATCCTGGTCTACAGAGCAAGTTCCAGGACAGCCAGAGCTGTTACACACAGAAACTTGCCCCCCCCCAAAAAAAAGAAGAGGAAGAAGAAGGAAGAAGAAGAACAAGAACAAGAAGAAAAAAGATGATGATAAATAGAAAAAGAGAGGAAGAGGAACAAGAAGAAACACATATGGATCCCAAAGACATCTAGTCATTCTAGCTTTTATTTGTGATCTGTTGGCTCTAGTCCACACCCAAAGAGATTTAATGGGGACCCTGTCTATGCACTGAGGGTACACATACGACTTTAACATATCTACTTGCTTTCAACTTCATTTCCATCTTCAAGTCCTTTAAGAATCTTGAGACTATAGATGTTTCCTATCCAAAGCAAGTAGATATAAATGTTAAATGAATTTCAACTCATTAATTTAGTAACTCATGACAATCCAGAAATCAAAAAGAGACAGTATTTTGCTAATCACAAAATAAGCAATAAAGTCAAGTTATCTCCTCCTTAAACCTCATTGGCTTGGTGAGTTAAGTTCTTCATAATAAGGAAACAATGTATATTCAGCATGTATTCCAAGTGTCTATATTGCAAGATGGAATTGATCATTAATTAATAGCATGGTTTTTATAGCCCTAGTTTCAGGGAGTTGAGCATCTCTGCAAAAGGCAGGCCGTATGCTCATTAACCTGATCCCAAGTAAGAATAGATGGAAAAGTAAGACAGAGAAAGGGTCGGGATGACAACAGAAAAACAGAGACAAGTCTCTCTACAGAGGAGTTCTTTCTCTGCCTTAGAGGCTCGCATGCTCCATCTGGAAGCCATAGACAGCAAGGCTGTTGGCGTGGAGAGAGCCACCATGAGCAGATGATAACCCAGGCCATCGTAAGTATTTAGAAACATGGAGCACGCAACGAGCTCGCAATAGGGATCAGGAAACGCAACCTACACAATTAAGAATGGACAAAATTCCTCTGAGAGGACATACTGATAAATGATGCTGACACATGCAAGGAAATAAACAAGGCAGAGTCGTGGGGAGGTTTCAAGCCAAGAAAAAGGAAATTAAAAATAAACAGGCAAAATGGAAATAGACCAGATTAGTGGGGAAGGAAATTCCATTGTTGTTACTGGAGATAATACTGTAAACAACAAATAATAAATCAAAACAACGTGAGGAAGCTCCACAAGATGGCTTTGGCTGCACTCTCCACATGTCATGGAAATGTAACTGGATAAACGAGACAAATTACAAAATCTCAGAACAAACACCGTCCAGCTGTAAGCACAGTGTAAGCCAGTGACCCCACAGCACGGACTCTGCTGTCGGCCACAGCTGCTCTCTCATCTTGGCCATGTGGGTGACAGTTGGCCCATTTTCAGGGCTGAGACTGAACTCTCCTGTGAACTGGCTTCCCACAGGCTACTCCTTACCCTGTCTGGGGAAACATGCATTTCTGTGTTGGCAACAGTCCCTTAAAGCACCCTGCAGCCAAGGAGAGTCATAGAGAGGCAGTCAGCTCTTACAGGATTGATTCTGCAAGTTTTGGAGATTCTCCACCCACCATCCCACCCCTGACAGTGGAGGTCTTTCCCACCCACCCCTCATTATCTACACTAGAACCTGCCACTGGGCTCCATACTATCCTTTGAGCTCTCATCCACACAGTAACCTCATAAGGTGGTTGTCACTATTTTACCGGGGTGAAAAGTGAGATTCAGAAGGGCTAAGTAACTGTATTACACTACTAGGAAGTCAAAGGTTCCCAAGTTCATACCCCCCACGCCACCCAACCTCCAGGTCGTTTAAGAAGGCATTGTCTCCATCCCCTCTCCTACTCTCAAATCACTTCTGAAAGCCCCTCTCCATCCCCTCTCATCCCTGCTGGAGTACCCCCTGCTACCCCTGCCTGTGCACCAGGCTGATGTCAGTTTCTCTCTGACACAACAGCACCCCGTAGAGAGAGGCTCACACCCTGGTGGAACATAGGTAAGAACAGGCTAGATGAAGAGGGAAATTTCACCAGCAAAAGATTGATTATTCCTTTTCCTCTTCTCTGATTGGGGTAGGCTTTCCAGATGTGTGACTGACAGTCTCTACTTAGTCACATGGGACCCCTTGCTCAAAGGAATCCCATATATTTGGCTGAATGCTTGGCTACCCCACACCCAAATTATACAGCCACTGACTTGCCTGTTCCTCTTTGAGGATAAAGTATTTTATACGTTTTATTTTTTCAAACTTACATTTTCTTTCAGCAATTAATGAGTTAGCATTCTCCTACTTGTTCTCCTAAAGGCCAGCTAGTTTACGTGGCAGCCAGTTTTTGTAAACTGAGAACAAGAGACAATGTGGCCTTTCTCCTGTGTGCTATATCTTAGAGTAATGTGCTATCCTCTTTCTTAAAACAGAGGATCAAAGGTTACAAATTAGCCTCCATACAGATATCACTGACAAGAACCACCAAGAGCACCACATACATGTTGGAATCAACATAAAATTCAATGGCAATCTTCGTTTCTAGTTATGAATGAGTGCAAAATATCATAAACCTTACGAAAATCTGTTATCCTAAAATCCCCAACACCCCCAAACAACCATTTTATCAAACTCCTGGATGGTCAGAGAATTCACAAGCTAGACCCAGGCTGGGACAGGGGAGTAGAATGCTTTTTTAAAAAGCAAGTATATAATCAGAGAACACAGAAGCAAATTTTTTTCTTGTTAGACATTAAAAATTAAAATTTCTTGAGAAAAATTTCCTGCTGTCTCTACTGCAGGAAGCAGAGGAGTAAAATTTAAAAAAAAAAAAAAGCCAAGAGCAAGTGGAAGAAGGGTGCTCCCAAATGACACAGACAAAGGATTTTCCCATCAGAAGTCACATAAGGGTTTCCAAGGTCACCTTAACTTCAAGATCTGCAATTCTGACGTCTTCACCATGGCTAAACAATTTTGGTCTTTTAATTAGGGTTTTCCAGAGTTAAGTCAGATCCAAGGATCAATCTAATCAAAATGTGTCAATTGAAGAAACTAATAGCAGATTAAAACTGGAGAGACAACTATCCTTAAAATAGGATTATCACCAGAGAGAAAGATGCGTTTCTTGGTAAGGGAATAGTTCTTATACCCGAAGTTTGTATTTTTAATGTCTATAATTTTTATATTGGGGTATGCA